GGGGGGGGGAGGGGAGCAATCCAATCACTGCTTAGACCTTTCTCCAAAAATCCTGGAAACCGGACTGTAGGCAAGTATAAAATATGATCATATGCGACTGGCACGATCTCGCCGTCTGGGGGAACGTTCGCAGGGACAGACTGACAGGCAGGCAGGCAGGCAGGCAAGTAGGCAGAGGCAGGGTCGGGCGTGGGAGTGCAGAGAGGAGATCACGTGGCAATGCCAGGATGCAGCTCCTCGAACTCTCAATAATAAATTACTAAGAATAAAAATTAAAATGTTGAGAGGGAGGGAGGGAGAAAGGGAAATGACCGGGTATTGGAGGTGGAACGGGCCCTTCCTTTAGGGTACAACGACGGGAATGTTGCACTGGGGCTGACGGATGGGGAGGGGAGGAGTGAAGTTTAATAATGATAATAATAAAGGAAAGGTGAAGGTTGCTGAGCCCTGGCCTTGTCCTCCGATCGGCGGTCGACGATCAGGTCTTCTTGTCTCTGGTCCTTATGGCCCGTTCGATGGCCCGTTCAAGCGCTTAGATGAAGGAATAGGAATAGCTGGTGCTGGTCAGATAGCAGCGAACAGCAGGGAAAGCAGCCGGCAGAAGGATAGAATGAAGAGACGAGAATGCGTTCTTACGAGATGAGAGGGGAGGAACGAAAGGAGGGGAAGGAAACGGTAATGTAATCCTAGGTTGCACAAAGGTAAAGGAGCACCACTGCTTGGGGGTGTATTAAACAAGCCTGGTGTCCTGAGCTCGACTCCTGGACTTACTTGACTAACCGATTTGAGGAGATTAGCAAAAAAAGAAAAAGAAGGGAAAAAGGAAAAAGGGGACCAGATGAACAAGAAGACCACAGGAGGGAAGATGGAGGGGAGGAGAGGGGGAGGGAGAAAACAGAACAGACAGACGGTCCTGACGGAAGAGGAGGAACTGAGAGAGTGAGGAGCGGGGGAAAGCAATAATAAGAAACAACAATAATAACAACAATCTTGACCATAACAATAAGATAATGATTACGCCAGTTGACTGCGACCAAATACTATGTATCAGCCCAAGACAAATTGCCTATGCACAGTACATTTTCTTTCGCTTGGACATGATTGAATGGACGTGCATTCCAAAGTCTTCTTTCCTACCGTGGTCACAGAAGCTGGCAGTTGGTCTGCGGAGCACCTCCGTACAGCTTGTTAAGAAGGCGAAAAGGAGGAGGACAGAGACCCGAGGGTGAAAATGGTCTGGACCGGAGAGGAGAAAGGTGCAGGGCTGCAACTCAGCTTGGGCGGGAGGTGCCATCGCAATTTCATTGCTCGTTCAAATCGATGCTAGGCTAAACATGACATCTGCTTTGGTTTAGTCTGGGCGAGCAGCAGCCTTCTCTACATCACTAACAGTACATTATCCACCCTCCTCCCCATGCTTTCATCCTCTACTTTAGCTTGAACCAATCACCCGCGCTTATCGCCGAGTTCAAGCGCACAGGGACCCATTGGATAGGCAGGTGTTTCCACCGCAGATGACCAGAGTGGGCATAATCCAGGGGTATCAGCATCAATGATCTCATTGAGGTCGGTGATACTCAATACAGGCACCGGCACCTGCTTCCATGATGTCTTTTTGCTCTACCCATCCTCCTCAACAATCGATCTCTTCTTCAATCAGCCGAACCTGGGCTAATTCATGCAGATGAACCTTGCTTCCCATTTGTACTTCACTTCCATACAAAATAACAGTTAATATTACTACCACGAGCGATCAGACTGACTAGTCACTAGCACAGAATCCTTGATTCAATCTCAATTCTTGAGATCCTGCACCGGACGGATTCCGCCAGATACCGGCCGACCAGCTCTAAAGACGGCGATAGCCAATGTGCCTTACAGCTCCACCCTCTTGCTCGCTCGTATTCCGATCGCAGGCTCATCTGTGGCAGGCTGGCAGTTCTCCGACTCCACCAATTTCTGGTTCTACAGGGCCAACCTTATTGATCTAATCCTCCGCCATTGGCATTCGCATGCGATCGGCTCGCGACCCTCTTCAATGATGATGTTCATCCATGCGTCCAAGACCACTAATTGACCTTGGCCCACAATAGCTAACCGCCATCTCTACCTTATCACAAATTCACAGTGCGTTCGGGGCGGAGCAAGCCTGTATTCCCGACTGAGCCTGCGAATCAGAAGTCACACAACCAGCTGAGCCCAGGCCACAGGTCCGTGCATCCCCTCCCAAGAGGGATTTCGTGGATTCGCGGGCAGGTGGCTCATTCCCCTATCATGCAGCAAAGATCGATATTTTCCGCTGTAGACTTGATCAAAGGCACACGTACCGCGACTACCTGCATACGTACAGTTCAATGTAGCCGAAGTGTGTCTACTCCGTATTACTCTACACCCTCTTCGCCCCCCGGTCATCGCCCGCATGGAATCGAGATTATCGCCATAGACGCTCCTGTATCCGGTCGCTACTCCGTACAGGTGGGCTAAGTCAGCTATCTCAAGGGTGTGGCATGCACGCTTGCACAACCTGTAATAAATCATTCCAGTGAGGTTGAATGCGGAGCTGGCAATGAACTCTTAAGCGCCCATCAATGCTCGACGGCTTTCCGATAGTGATCACACACCCACGCGATGTCATCAGAAAAAGAGGTCTAAAGCCACCAGAGGCAGGTCCGTCAGGGGCCATCTCGACCCCCCTTGATTCAAAGGAGTATGATACGTACACGCCTGAAGGTAGATGTATGTATGTATGTATGGATCTTGCAACATCCGCATTAGCCTTAAGCTTCCGGGTAATTGGCGCACCTCGTGCTTCTGGGGGGACGCCGAACACTTCGAAGTTCGAACTCACGGCAACTTTGCCCGTTAACAAAGCTTAACCCAGTTTACGAGTATGTACTGTAGTCACTCAGACTACAAAGGTCCTTTAAATCGCATTCTTACTGAGTGCTTCCCGCCCACGATATCTCCGCCATCAAGGCCGAGGGCGCCATATAGTAGCAACCCCGCAAAAGTGGCCCACCAGATTTGGGCATCCCATGTCTCAAAACCTTGAAAACAGCCTTGATGCCCAGAATCGATCGCTCGTATCGTTACGCAAGAATGGAATCGCTACGAATTGTGCCTCTAGCAGGACAACCCCGGCTTAGCTGCAGTGACATTGGTCCCCTTTGGGATAGCGGGCGCTTACGCGGGCGCCGGGCGCCCGGGTGTACTGTACCTAGAGGTGCACCACCACTGTAATGGACTGCGATGAGTTTCCATACAGCCTTGAGATCGCGGGAACCTGGGGTTCTCTTTATTACTGGCCAGTAGGGATAAAATCGAGGGATCAATCCTTGATTCACAGTGCATCCACCCAGAGAGACAAAGGGTAGAGGAAGCTTGAAGGGAGAGAAGAAAAAAAAAAAGAAGGGGTGATGGTCGAGTGGGCCGAGGGTCACCCGGAGGCTTGGCTTGCGGGCTGGCCGAACCGAGACAGGAGACTACACTTTCTCTACTCGACCATCCGTTGTTGAAACTACTCAATGTACATAATGATGGGTTATAACTTTCAAACGCCATGTCGACAGCCGAGTCGCAAAACTACACATCTATCAACAAGAATCTATATGCATTACTGGTTTGCTACATAGACTCTTATTTCAACGGAAGGCTGCTCAGCTACCCGACCGTAACCGCAAAGAATAGAAAGACTGCCACACAGGTGGACCACACAGTGCCATCGTATCTACTTAGTACCTGCTTGATGGAAACAAAGGCAGTCAGTCGGGTGAGCATCCAGCAATGATGAATAACTAACTAGTTAATCTGGTCTTACTGAGTAATCTTCATCGAATGATCATTCCTGATTTCCGGACAGAGTCACATACCTACTGAGTACTGTATGTGTAGCAGCGACCGACGTCAGAGTCTGGGGACTCCGCACGTGAGTCTCCGCCTCTCCGCAGGGTTGGTTGGCCCGAGGTCTTCACATGCGCGCAACTCCGCCATTAGCTTCAACGAGTACCAAGAATGTGACCTGTTGCCTGAGTTGTCTCTGACTCCTTCTTCCACTTCCACATCACAGCTCCTTCGCATCTTCACCAGCTTACCCCACGTTGCAACACAGCACTTTCTCTCGGCCCTCATGGCCCTCAGTGTCCGAACCTGAGGGCGACAACTGCTGCAGTGGCAGCCTGCGATCGTGGCAATCATACACCACCTCCCGAGGTCCCGCGGCGTGTCAATGAGAAGGAGAAATGGCCGCTCAATCGACGCTCCAGCATCGGGAGGATCCTCTCGTGGTATTGTACCACTACTATATCAACCTTACTCGTGCCCGGATAAAGCGCTCTTCGAAAGCGGCCAAAACCGTCGCCACTATCGCTTTAATCCTCTCGATCTTGGGAACTGGATACGGAGGCTATAAATGGTTTCGCGAGAGGTCGCAGGAGCATGCACAGGGCAGGCGGTTACTACGCCGGAACTCTGGGATCAGAGGGAAGGATGGAACCCGGACCATATACGTACCCTACAAGGGATCCATGACCTCGAAGGTCAAGATCTACCCAACCAAACCCACGACGTTTGATGCGCATCGGCGACTGTTTCTAAACCCTCCTGCAGCCGCCCGTGTCGGGGACGGCGCGTCCAGTAACCAGACCCCACCGCCGATGACGAAGCCAGGCCTGAACCTCGCTTTCCTGCATCAGTTCCTCAGCCTGGGGAGTATCATGGTGCCCCGATGGAGCAGTAAGGAGACGGGTCTTCTGATGGGTCATGGCCTTTTCCTGCTCCTACGGACGTATCTCTCTCTCTTGATTGCACGCCTTGATGGCGAGATCGTGCGAGACCTGGTCGCCGGTAAGGGCCGGGCCTTTGCCTGGGGCATCGTGAAGTGGTGTGGCATCGGAACACTTGCATCATACACCAACGCCATGATCAAGTTCCTCCAGTCAAAAGTGTCTATCGCGTTCCGGACCCGCTTGACGCGGTACATCCATGATCTCTACCTTACCAACGACAATAACTACTACAAACTGATGAACCTGGACGGCAGCATCGGCCAAGGGGCGGACCAGTTCATCACGCAAGACCTCACCCAGTTCTGCACTGCAGCGGCATCGCTTTATTCCTCGATGGGCAAGCCGTTGGTAGACTTGTTCGTCTTCAATTACCAGCTGTATCGCTCCTTAGGACCGTTGGCTCTGACTGGAATCCTCACTGGGTATTTCAGTACGGCGGCAGTCCTTCGGAGACTCTCGCCTCCTTTCGGCAAATTGAAAGCGGTCGAAGGGAAGAAAGAGGGTGACTTCCGTAGCTTGCATTCCCGACTCCTCGCGAACGCGGAGGAGATCTCGTTCTATGGGGGCGCAGACATCGAACGCGTGTTTCTGGCAAGAAGCTTCAAAGACCTCCAGCGGTGGATGGAGGGAATTTACAGTCTGAAGATCCGGTACAACATGCTCGAAGACGTTATCCTGAAGTATGCTTGGTCTGCATTCGGTTATCTCGTTACGTCCCTGCCGATCTTCCTACCTGCGTGGGGCGGATCGGGCGGCGCCCTGGAGTTGCTCGATTTACCGGAAGGCACCGGTCGTGAGCGCGACCGCATGAGAGAGTTCATCACGAACAAACGCTTGATGCTGTCATTAGCGGACGCGGGCGGCCGTATGATGTATAGCATCAAGGACATTTCGGAACTGGCCGGGTACACATCCAGAGTCTACAGCCTGATCTCCACCCTCCACAGGGTTCACGCAAATGCATACTACCCTCCGCGGGACTCTGGTGCGGAACTATACTCCTTGGCCGACGTTCAGGGAACCGTCCACAATGGTTTCGATGGCGTGCGCCTCGAGCAGGTTCCTATCGTTGCCCCATCCCTCTATCCCCGCGGCGGTGACGAGCTTCTGGAGTCGCTGTCGTTTGTCGTGCACTCTGGAGACCATCTCCTGATTTCTGGACCCAATGGCGTCGGCAAGTCCGCCATTGCGCGGGTTGCTGCCGGGGTGTGGCCGGTGTATCGTGGCTTGGTCAGTCGGCCACGGGGTTTCGGGCTCGATGGCATCATGTTCCTGCCTCAGCGGCCGTATCTTAGCGTTGGAACCCTGCGGGATCAAGTCATCTACCCCCACTCGGAGATCGACATGCGCGAGGCGGGAGTATCGGACGCTATGCTGCAAAAGGTTCTGGATGATGCCCACTTGGGCTACCTTCCTTCGCGGGAGGGCGGCTGGGACTCGCGGAAAGAGTGGAAGGATGTATTGAGCGGTGGAGAGAAACAGCGCATGGCCATGGCTCGCATCTACTACCACGAGCCGCGGTACGCGTTCCTTGACGAGGGGACCTCTGCGGTCTCGTCCGACGTGGAGGGTCTGCTGTATGATCGAGCAAAGGAGCGGGGGATCACGGTCATTACGATCTCCACGCGCGCGTCGTTGAAGAAGTACCACACCTATAGCTTGAACATCAGCATTGGCGCGGAGGGAGAACAGTGGGAGCTGGAGAGGATTGGCACCGCCAAGGAGAAGCTGGGAGTCGAGAAGGAGATCCAGGAGATCCGCAAGCGATTAGACAAGGTAGAGGAGTGGAAACGGCGGCGTGAGGAGATTGAGGAGGAGTTGCGCAAAGTCTGGGTGGAAGAGGGGGAACTTGCTCCTCCACCTTATGAGGCCGGCTCTGAAGCTGTAGAAGCTCAGTGACAGGGTGTGACTTTTGCTTCATTTTACATTTGTGATGCGATTGCAGCATGCTATATATTCACCACCAACAATTGCGTGGTTAGGGAAGCATCTCTACTACATGTCACATCACGTCACGTAAAGTTATGATCCTTTGAATAAGATAGCATCCAGACTAAGTTTGGTCTCAGCTGTAAACAATTCAATTAGAAGAGCCTGTCATTTTGCTAAGCTTTTTCTTTCCAGTTAATAGATCTCATTTTATTGCCCTGTGAGTCACATGACTGGCAGCCACGGCGATGCGATAGAATCCCAACAATAATTAATTTTTCTACCAATTTTCTAACAATTTCCAAAGCTTCTTTTCCCAGCGATTTTCGACGTTACCTGAATTATCACAGACCGGGCTTCTGTCTCTGAATTATTTTTAAATAATAATCCCAACTCTTCTGGCTATTGGTGCCGACAAGAATGTCCAGTGGCTTCTTGGGACACCTGGTTTAAGGGTAGCGTAGCCAGGCCAGTTTGCGTCTGCATTTCCCGCGTCTTCCCCAAAGTCACTCTCCCAAAACCTTGCCAAAAACAGAGGCCGCAAGTCAGCGCTATCCCGCGCAGGGTAGACCTGCCCACCAAAATGGTTGACATCAAAATGGAAGGCGAAGATCCCGGGGCGATTGTCATCCCGATTGACTCGACATACAGCGATGGGGATCGCGCTGGCTGGCCGACGGGGGACCGATTCGACATGCCCGACGACAGCTACTATCGGCGCAAGATTGCGAAGCTGTGGGCGCAGAAGGCGGGCTTTTATGAACCTGGTAGGTTTGTACTTCAATGCCTTTGTTGTGAAATTTGGTTGCATTTTTTTTTCTGGTCTTGTTTCTAGTAGCTATGTATATCTAAGTATAGGCTTGGGTTTCAGTGATGCTTGCTTGCTTGCTTGTTTCCGTTCCGCCGTACAACATGTCTCTCGTTTGCTGCTTGTCTCAAGTTCGGTGTAACGTCTTTTCCTTTGGGGTTTGCTTGATGGCTCTCTTTTTACACCAGAGTCTTTACTTGTATTCCAGAGTTGTCTGGCTGGGTTAATATCTCTTAGTTCTTGTTGTGAATTTCTCTATTTGGTGCATTGACTGTTCTATGTTCGACCTCATGCGCATGCACATGATGTGCACGATGGAATTACCGTGATCCTGCACATCTTACTTTTATGTCCACGGCTGCCTCAGACAGATGCTGATATAGATACAGGAAAGGAATACATCCTGGATACTTTACCAGACGGATATGCGATCTTTGACAGACCGCGCGGAACAGACCCTGATATCGTGAGTTGCACGACCGGTATCTGTTGAGTGACTCTTCTAACAGTGAATAAAACCCAGCGAGATCGTTTCCTCTACGGCCATCCTATCCAACAATACTTCTACTCTACCGTCCAGTTCTTTCCGCATTTCTGCCACCTGATGAGCCGGGGCAAAGAGCCCTGCTCCTGCATTCTCTGCGAGAAGCTAGCTAAGCGCAAGAAAGGTACGTCCTGAAGATTTGGGATTGCTTCTTGGAAAACTACTGACGTGGTGCGTAGACGGCGTTCCGATCGGAAGAGGAGTTGGCCGGCCTCGCGGACGACCTCCAGGCTCGGGCACGCGCACGTCGTCCGGCACCAGCACCCCGATCAAGCCGGTAGGCACCCCCGGCAGACGCGGCCGACCCCCAGGCAGTGGCAGGAAACCCGGTCGACCTCCTGGCTCTGCTGTTGCTGCTGCTGCTGCTACTTCTGCTGCTGCTGTACGCTCCTCCGGACGACTCCCCGGCCGGCCCTCGGAATCCAGCATGTCATATATCGCCGACAGCGAGGGCACCCCGGACGTGTTCAAAGCCGCGGTCATCAAACTCCGCGCGAAGGGCCAGCTCGACGAAAAGATCACGGAGCCTGTCAGCATGGACTGGCGCGCCGAGCGCACGCCGCTCCGCGAATACCTGGAGAAGCTCAACATGCTCCCGTCGTTTGTGCCGCGCACGGGCGAGCTGGTGCTGTGGACGACGGAGTACGAGGGGAAGCTCGCGTGGAACCCGGAGGCGGGGCAGGTCCAGATCTGCCGACACAAGGAATGGCACGGGGCTCCCGAATGGCGCGCGGGCGTCGTCGGCCAGCTCCCCGAGGAAGATGTGGTCTTGCAGGATATCGTCGTGACGACGCCGAAGAAATGGGGGCCGAACTACTCGGGCTTCCGGGTGGAGACGTTCCCGGACCCCAACAGCGAGGATAAGAGCTACTCCCTGCAGCACAAGTATGTGCCCATGAAGTGCATCCGGCCGTTCGGCGCGTACGAGCATTTTCTGCAAGGGGTGCCACGGGAGGAACTGCATCCGTCCATCGAGAATGCCCTGACCGTCATGGCTTCGTTCAGCATGCTGGAGAAATACCGCTTTCGGGGCACGTGGCCTGATGCCGCGATCTACTGTCGTGGGATCTTTCTGGGGGCGGAATTCCTAGCGGTTGGCGACGCGGTGCGGCTCAAACCGTCGGGGTGCGATGCAGATACAGTCGGTCCTGCGACAGCAGTCACTCCCAACGTGATGGTCATCCACGAGATCCGCCTCGAGCTGAAGGAGTGCGACGCCGACCCGCGATCCAAACAACTGGCCGAGACGTACCAGGTGCGCATCCAGGGCAAAGTGTACACGAACGACCGCGAGCGCGCCGCAGCACTCCTACAACGGAGCTCAAACTCCCCGCAACCCCCACCAAAGCCCCTCACCTCGGACGAGATCGCGAGCACCTTCCACTACGTCGGCATGAGCGGCTACGGCGAGTGGTACCCGCTCCACTCCGGCGCCCTAGTCAATATTTCCCAAGACATGATCCTGGGCCGCTGCTACGAGCCCGACGCGATGCAGCTGCTGTTCCGATCGCCGGCGCTCCACTACGATCTGCACGGGGTGCTGCGCGGCCGGGCGTACTCGCGGGCGACCGACGAGCGCATCCGCCCCGGCAAGCGGTGGTTCTGGGGCGATTTCCGCACGCAGACGCTGGCACTCGACACGCTCAACGGCGAGGACGTGGGCCACTACAGCGACGTGCGCGACGTCAAGATGTGGCGGGCCAATTTAAGGGTGATCGACGGCACGGCCAGGGCGGCGGACTTCCGCGACGCGAAGATCCCCGGCGACGTCGGGCGGCCGTCGACCAAGACGGCGTCGAACTTCGCGAAGGTCGGCAAGCTCAGTAGGCTGGTGAGCACGGGGTTGGGGGCGGTGGACGGCAGTGCGCCGGCGAGTTCGGCAGAGGATGGCGATGGCGATGGCGATGGCGATGGTGCTGTCTCTGGCGGGGAGAGTGAGTCCGAGGAGGAAGAGTATACGCTACGGATCGATCAGTTGCGGGGTGGGACTGAGGAGACTGAAGGAGGGGACTACGTTCCAGGACCGGGCACCACCGAGCAGGAACCGCAGAACAAACGAGCGCGCATGATGGAAATGATGTAGTGTAGCTTAGCTTCAGATATTTACTGCCTGCATCTGACCCAACACAAATAACTCCCCAACCCCGAACCCCCCCCCCTCCTATCCATAATATCCATAATAAAACCCCCCTAATAAGTCCGGGCCACCACGCCCCTCGCAAAATCCGCAAAAGAAACCCCCGGCTGCACCTCCTCCTCCAAGTTCGGCTGCGTAAACACCGCCAACGTATTCCTGGCGATGCTCCGGCCTTCTAACCCTTTCCTGGCGCCCTTCACAAAATGCGGCACCGCGCGGAACTGGCCCCTGGTAATCAACTGCAGCGCCTCGCCCGTCTGAAACGCCAAACAATCCCGGGGGATATTGACCTTGACGATCTGGCCGGTGCGGGACTTGATATACAGTCCGGCGGAGGGATCAGGCGACGCGGCCAGCTCCTCCAGCGGGTTTTGAGGGGCTGCAAGGTCCTGGTCGGCCTCATCCACAAACATCGCCGACGTCAACCCCGTCAAACAGCTGTGGTCGAGGTGCGTGGCGCACCAGTCATCATCATCATCATCATCATCATCATCCCCCTCATCCTGGACACCGGGCTGGGTCGGGAAGTAGTGCAACAACCGCGCCTTCGTGGTCAAACTGCCCCGCACCACCTTCTCCAGATACCCAGGCACATAGCCGTCGACGTTCTCGGCCGCGAAGCGGTCGCACGCCCGCGCCACCAGCGCCGCCGTGTCGATGATCATGCTGCACAGCTCGCGGACGCTGGGCTCGAAGCTGGGCAGCCGCGCGCCCGCGGGCCAGATGTTCGGCGCCGTGTACTCCGGTAGGTCCGGGTGGTCGGCGGCGGGCGCCCCCTGCAGGTCCGCCGACTGGTGGAAGGCGCAGTTGAGGTAGTAGCTGCCCTTGTGCGTGTCGTAGACCCCCGGGCGCAGGGTCTCCTTGCCGTGCGACCAGCCCACGAGGTATTTGGCCGAGGCGCACGTCAGGGCTTCGAGTTCGTCCGCCGGGAGCGCGGCGAGGTAGGAGGCGTTCGAGAGGACTTGGGCGCGCAGGTGGGCGAAGTTTTCCGGCAGGTCTTTGACGATGATGATCCCCAGGGAGGAGGGGCCGAAGGCTTCGGTTAGCGTGGGGAAGGTTATGGTTCCTGTTTTTTTTTTTTTTTTCTTGTTGTCAGTTTTGGAATTGTTCTTCTTAGGGTTGGGGGTTCGGGATATTGAGGGGATATCGAGGGGGAATGTATGTATGCTGATATGCTAGTGTGCAGAGTAAGGTCGAGCTTACCATCGATCAACTCCTTCAGGCTCACGGTCACGGCCTGGCCTTGTGGGATGTTCTCTAGAGTCATAGTGATGCAGTATATTCGGTGATGCCACAAAGACCTGACTGCTGGGAATGAAAGAAAAGACAAAGAAACAACAAAAAAAAGAGACGATTCCGAGAGATAAATTCTTCCCCAGACAAAATTTGGCTCGGCCCGCTCCGATGCCCGCTTATCAACGGCTTATCGGCTGTCAGCCCAGTATTTGCCGAGGAAGATACGTCCGCCGTAGATATACTCATTGGCATGGGATGGACGGAGATCTGGCGATAGGAGAAATCGGGATTATGTGGTATCTATGGTACAGTTCGTGGTAATGTACAACGCAGTGATGTGGCTGATGAACACCCTCTAAATCTTCTCCACCTCCTCCTCGCCAACCTTCTCTGTCTTCTCAGACCGACGAGTGACCTGCCGCAGATTGCCAAACGGAAGCACATCACTGATCTTCTTGGCCCCCGTGAACAACATGCACAGCCGATCAATCCCGCACCCCCAGCCTCCGGTCGACGGCAATCCCCATTCCAGCGCCTCCAGGTAGCTCTCGTCGATCTCCTCGGTTTCGTTGGCCTCCTTGCTGAACCGCACCTGGTCCTCGAACTTGCGCCGTTGCTCGAAGGGAGAGTTTTCCTCCTCGTAGGTGTTGATCACCTCCCGCCCCTCGACGAACAGCTCGGCGCGCGCGGCAACGCGCTGGCCTGTCGTCGGGTCGATGAAAGACTTGGACAACGGAGACAGACATTCGGGCGGATTGATGATGAAGGTGGGGTCGATGCACTGCGGCTCGACATATCTGCTGCAGAGCTCGTCCAGGAGACGCGGAAGGGTTGGACTGGAGGGTTCAGGGAGGGAGAGATCGCGATACAGTTCCTTGACCTGCGCTAGGGCGTCTGGAGCAGTAAGCTCAGGCAGTTTGCGGCCGATGGCCTCCTCGATTCCGGTGATGAAGTCGATGCGACGGAACGGCGCAGTAAAGTTCGCCTCGGTGGGTGTGAACGTGTTATTGGCGTTCACCTCCTCGATACGGGTCGACAAGCCCGAGAGAAGCTTCTCCGTAATCGAGATCAGCTCTTCCAGGTTGGCATAGGCGTGATAGAATTCACAAGTAGTAAACTCCGGGTTGTGTGTCTTGTCCAGCCCTAGATTTCCGCTGTCAGCACACTCGTCCACTTCGTGGTCCACGCGAACATCCCTACCTTCGTTGCGGAACGAGGGCCCAATCTCAAACACTCGATCAAACCCTCCAACGACCAACCGCTTCAACCACAGTTCCGGCGCGATGCGCAGAGACAGCTGCCGGTCGGGGAACTCGGTGGCAGATGTATGGAAGGGGCGTGCAATTGCACCCCCTGCTACTGCCTCGAGAATCGGGGTGTTGACTTCCATAAAGTCTCGGTCGACGAAAAACTGGCGGACATATTGAATGATAGCCGAGCGGGCGCGGATGATGTCTGCCGTTCGCTGATCTGCCAGGAACTGAACATGACGAGGATATGGGGAGGTCTCGTGCTTATGGGCGTCCAGCGGCACATCGTGCAGACAAGGCGAAAGGAGCTGAGGCAGTTGAGTCGCCAAGATGGTGAGCTCGCCTCGTCCGGTGCGGTGAGGCCTACCGGTTACGGCTGGGGGAGAACGTGAAGGTTCAGTCGACGACCGACGGAATACAAAGGATGTACTGGTAGATGGAACATACAGAAGGCATCACCACGGCGAAGCAGCCGCGAAAAATCTCGGAAGTGTTCGGGAGTCACCCCTTCCAACTGACGGATATTGCACATCACCTGCACTTTATGGCCATTTTGCGACATGTCGAAGAAGATCAACTTGTTGCCAGCCAGTCTAGAGGTACGTATCCTACCTACTGATCTAAGTACGGGGACAACATGTGGTAGAGCGCCAGCTGAGGCAGAGACCTACCATGGACAACAACCGTGTCTCCTTCTACTTCATTATAATCTAGGTGGTAGTAGCGGTCACGGAATTCCGCAGTGCTCATGGAGTTTTCATTGCTCTCAAGCCGAGGATATGCCTCGGAAAGTGTCTTTTGGACCTCCTGTAGACGCTCCTTGTAAACTCTTTCCGGGGAGGCTGCGCTGCTGCTATGCCTTGACGCATTGGCAGCAGTGAGGCGCTGTTTTACTCGAGCAAACTGGCCACTGGTCTGCAGGATCTGTGTACGGGTTGAGATGGGTGCTCCTGTGCTGAAGATTTCGTATTAGCAATTGCACTTGACGATTGGATGCAAGCGTGCCAGAGAAAAAGGTATTAGAATCAGATGACATTAGTCTTCCAGTTACGCTCATTACGTGGAGGTTTCCCTCCACGCATTCGGTGCAGCGGTTCTGAAAATGGAAGGGTATGTCTCATCATAAAAAAACCAGTTGCAAGGCAGAGGTAGTGCCGCTTGAGATAACTCACCTAGACAGAAGCCTTCCGGCTCTCAGCCGTGACGCCCACTGCGGGCGGATTGATTGCATTGAGAAAGAAGAATGACAAGGACTACGTGCTCACATCATTTGCAGCGATGACGGGAAAAAGAAAACAAGGGCAGGTTGTGTGCGGAAGAGAGGCAGGGGAAAAAGGCCAGCCGACAGAAAATCCTGAGGCGGTGAGAGGAAGCAAGCCCGCTCCGACTTTCCTTCCGCTCCCGGAGCTTCAAACAAGCAGAGCGAGAGACTTGAGTTCTATCTATACAACTCTTAACCTCCTATCTAACTTCAAATGTGAGCGCCACGCTTCCCAAAGCCTTTCAATCAATTGCCGACTTGCTAACATATAGCTCTAGCTCACCCCACCTCTCACACCCACCCCCACCATCACAATGTCTTTCCTCTTTGGCGGTGCCCCCAAGATGTCCTCGGAGCAGAAGATTGCTGCCGCTGAGACCGAGGTGGAGATGATTTCCGACATGTTCAACCGGTGAGTCGACATCTGCGTGAAGCTGCCCTTCTGACCCTCGATGACCGCCCTTCCTACACCATCTGTATCGGCAGGAAACTGACCACCGATAAACAACTAGCCTGACCGAGTCCTGCACCAAGAAGTGCATCCCCAACGACTACCGCGAAGGCGACCTCAACAAGGGCGAGTCCGTCTGCCTCGACCGCTGCGTGTCCAAGTTCTTCGAGGTCAACATCAAGGTCAGCGAGAAGATGCAGGGTGAGGCCGCCAACAGACAGGGTGGCATGGGCATGGGCATGTAAAATGTTGATTGATATACTCTGGGGCTCAAAACTGTTTCCATTTATGTACTTGTATAATTGATTGGGTCTTCTCTTTTTCCGGGGAAAGTGGTGCGTGCATGTCTTCGGGATTTCTTGCGCTACATTTACCCGTGATGACATATGGTTCTAGCATTTTGGATGACATTGTCTCTCACACATGGAAAGTGGTTGAATGGTTTATGGGATAAGATAGCATTGAGCATTGGGAATGGAATCTATCCTGGATGTGAAGGTTCTGTCTTTATTGCTCGTGTCCAGGTAGAGCTATTGCATTAAAGGACTCGGGAAGCATGAAGATATTCCCATCGAGCATGACATAAGATGTGGCTGAGATGCTGAGCTGTGGCTGGTGGCTGCTTTGACTGGACCACTCAAGTTGACTTGCCCAGTAGGCAGCTGCGTTCTATGCACCGTTAGTGGCGTTCATTGTTCTAGAAGCCAGTCCTGAAAAGGCAATACGAAGTTCTTCAGACTACTACTCCTAAACCATGTTCAAGGATGATCTGGTTCTTGAGTCGAGTTGATAATTGTCCTCGATAAAACCCTCGGCTCACCGCTCCCTGATAAGTCGCAACGGAAATCCCCTTGTGACGTCGTCGGCTGCAATGCCCGGCAACCAAGAGGAAACGCACCGCACCGCACCGCACCGCAACGCAACAACCACCCGCTTCACGGCCAACAACGCCTGTGCTTTTCTCCCTTTCACCCTCGCCAAACATATCCTCACGGGATGACATGGACTGACGGCTGCTAGCTTGGCACCTCACGTTGAAGCTTGAGGCTCCATCAGCGCCCCCATCCCTTCCCCCCTCATCCTGTTCGAAATTTCTCGGATATGTCAATGGCACTTGCTTTCTTTACCGCTGGTCCAATCGAGAGAACACCCCTGGAGGGTTAACTATTTTGTGTCGCGTTCTTCTTTCTACTCTTACAACGTTCGAGCTCTAGTTCCCTGGCTGGTTCTAACGCTCGTCTCCTCGCTACCCTCCTTGCCCAGAAATCGAGGCTGTACTCATCCCTTATGTGTTAGGGAAGCTGGTACCGTTTCCTACGCCATGCCACCATCATCGCCTACGCAGACTGGTGGGCCTGCCACACCTGCTGCGGTAGCAACACGAGAGCCGACCAAAACAGTACCGAAAGAGAGTCCGCTCGTGCAAACGAACGGCCCCGACGGACAGTCGTCGCCGCCCCCACGGCCGGGCCACCAGAAACTCGTCTTCACCGACCCGGTTGCCTTCCGCTACCTGGAGGAGGATCCGGCGACCATAGTTCTACACCGGCGAATGACTCTGGATGGGTACGAGGTCTACATTGTTGAGCAATGGGCGTGCACGCGGATTCATCCAACTTTCATCATCACGACCTACACGGGAGATCCGTCGCACAAAGTCGCCGTCGGGGTGCTAAGCGTCCCGACGGATGAGTCGACGTGGTCGCCCCGTCTGCGGCTGTACTTCAACGCTGTGGTACAATGCCAGGCACAGAAGCGAGACACTCCCCTGGGGACGCTGATGGTCACCGATCTCAGCATCTTTCCGTGCGCCCTGGCACTCATACCCGTCCCGGACGGCGATGTCCTCAAACACAAGGACGATTTCATAGTCAATGAAAACCTTAAGAGGTTAGGTTGCTCGGGCCGTGCCAGCTTGAAGCTGCAACCCCCGTCGCCTGCTACCGAAGCCAAATTCCACCAACTCTACCGCACCAGCGAGAGAGTGCCCCTCTATAGTGCTGTGGTCGAGCTGGTAAAACAGTGCCAGATCACCCTGATGATGTTCGGCAACCTGGCGCCGGAGTACGTAGACGGTCTGCTCTGTGATATGACCGAGGCAGCCATAGCCGATTGGTGGACCGAGATTGGGATGGACTTGTACAACATCGAACCCAGCGACAGTATGCTGGGCCCCATCTCGGTGTCGGCTCTTCTCGGAACTCTGATCGGGGCCCGGAATCGGCTGCATGCGTTCGGTGCCCCCGTTGGCAAGGACGCATTCGATATCCCGAACCTCAAACGAGGGATCGGGAGCTTCCAGAAATCACAGAAGATGAAACGGACCAGACGGCTGGACCGCCAGACCCTGGACCGACTGCATCGAGTCACTGCGAAAGCTGCGAATGCCGAGGGCTGGACCGACGCGGTGAAGTCAACGGTGGCCGAGCTGAGCGGGCATGGCGGTGAAATGGTGATGGGGATGGTTAGGGGTCGCGAAAAGGGCGGTATCGCCGATATCGAGACTCTGGACATTGACACCTTTGCGCGGCTGGTCAAAGGCGAGAGGGCAAAGTGGCTGTGGAGGGGCAAACCACGCAAGGGTGCCATCGGCGAGTCGTTCGGTGGCGGCCCGGCGGCAGCGGACATGCTTTTCACCAACGACGAGCAAGGCGGCTATCTTTGGACGACGCGGAAGAGACATTCTCAAGAGGACATGACGGTGGATCGACTGCCACCGGAGGCAGATCGCCCACGGAAACCTTCTGAATCAGCCGCCACCTTCGACGAGAAGGATCAGAACCTGAGTAGTATCGTGCGGAGAGGCGTGAGTGGAAAGGTGTCAGACGCGCGAGCGGGATTTGGCAGATTCAAAGATGCGGTGGGCCTGCGATCACATCCGTCGAAGCATTCCCGGGAGGGGCAATATGGTTATGGCGATTCGTCTCACTTGCCTCCGATTGACAGTGATACCGAACCAAATCAACCGAGAAAGCCCGATGACGGTGACCCGAACACTGCAGAGCAAGGAAGCATTCATGAGTCCGAGGGCCGAGCTCTCAACGAGGATGCCGCGGCTGCCGAGTCTGTACCAAGCGTTGTGCCCCCACAATCACCCGAAGCAAAGACACCCGCAATCACGGTGGAGGCCGTTCCGGACACTGCCGACTCGGAGTCTGCCCGCAAGGTCCCAGTCTTCCAGCCGCCCTTCGAGGAAGAAGTGCCCGACGAAGAGTCCCGCCGGAGGACCCCTTCGACCGACATCTCCGCCGATCGAGAGCGGACGCCCGACATTGGGATCATGTTGCTGCGCCGGCCGCGGAGTTGCGTCCAGCTGCCAGGCTCGGAGGAGCGGTCGATGCCCGAACGGACCGACGGCCACTGGCCACGGCATCTGTCCTTCAGCACCGTGGAGGAGGTGGTGCTCGGCTGGGATGGGATCGGCGGCAGCATCCAGGAGCGGCCCGACGCCACCCTGGAGGAGGCGATCCTCCACGAGGACGTCCTCGCCTCGGACGCCCGCCTCTTCAGCGCCCAGATCCGCGAGCTCAGCGAGCAGACCGCCCCCTGGGTCGAGCAGCAGGTGACCTCGGTCGACGACCTCAACCGCTGCTTGCACGAGAGCTACGAGAAGATCAACGCCGCGTACCTGGAGCGGCTCGCGGTCTTCCAGCAGCTGCGCGGCAAGTCCACCGACCTGCTGTCCGAGGAGCACACCCACCTCACCGACTACATGCGGCGGGTCGAGCTGATGGGCGCGAAGCTGGACTACGAGCTGCACGTCCTGGAGTCCAAGGTCGAGGACGTCGAGGCCGGGCTCGGGGAGTTCGAACGCCATGTCGCCGACGTGGAGACGAGGGTCCGGTTGCTGGTCCGCGGGGAGAAGGAGAAGGATAGGGAGAGCAGCAGCAGCAACAGCAACAGCAGCAGCAGCAACGGTGGCTCCTGGCTGTCCTGGCTGGGCAAGTTGGCTGGTCTGTAGGGTTGACTTGCGTTGAGTTTGAGTCCAAGTCGCCCGGGACGAAAGAGAATCGTGTCCGCTTCCGTGTGTAAGAAGCATATTTGCTATCTCTGTTCCAGCACTTCGAGTTGTATACCCCCTGTTCAGTATAGACGAGAAAGAGAATGTAATAAAACGAAAAGCAGACGCTAGTATATACCACATTTGTTTTGTGTTCCAGGGATGTGCCTAACCCCCCGGCGGGAATTTTGTTTTACCCTGCGCGATGGATTATAGTAAGGACGGCTCGGCAACATCTAACTACCGTCCATTACGAGTTCTTGGTTCAAAACCAAGCACAATAAACAGTAACGTCATTCTATAAACGGCATTTTCCTGCCGAAATCTAACCGTGCTCGAAAACTCCAGGCCAGCGAAGTTTGGTTATTTGCGAGCGGTTGAGGTGGTCGGTCGAAAACCGAGGCTCTCATAGTCTAGGTGTTAGTCTATGTATATAACCGACTCCAGTTACTGGGGAGCGGACCACCCCAGCCACCGGTCTCTGGGCTTGCCTGCTCTCTCTACAACTGACAACAACAACAACATAATCAGGTTTCCAGGGCTATCCATTCAGGCTCATGCATGCGGCTAGATTATCTCGGAAAGAGCTCAAGGATCTTGGAGCTTGTCTTCGGATTGAAATCATTTTGATCTTTATAATAGAATAATAGGAAATATGTACACCTACTCCATCCACTCCAGCCCCTGCGCTACGCTTCTGTAAAAAGAAAAACCCCGACTATCCAGCCCGACCCAAATCCCGATAACGCCGCAAACAAGAAAAGGAAAGATTAATAGAAAGACATATAAACAAAAAACAATGTACGTACTGAGTTCTGACCCTGGACGCCCGCTGATTACATGGTAAGGAGGAGGTAGTGTATGTACTTACTTGTAGCCTTGCTTTGACGATGACGCAAAAAGGGTAAGAAAACGACCTAAAGGAACACCTTTCTGGCCTCGCGGGGGTGGCTCTCGCTGGGGCAGTAGGGGCATTTGAACCGGCTGCCCTTGCACAATCGTTTGAGGGATTCCTCGGCAATGACGTGCCCGCAGGGCATCATCATGGGTGGGTTCTCGTCGGTGGTCTGTTCCTTGGAGACGGGACAGACGAAGATGGAGTGGAAGAGGTAGGATGGCGGGAGGGGGATTTCGACCTGCAGGGCGTGAGTATCAGAATTCTAGCGGTATGCGGGGATTTTTATTTTCATGGGGCACTCTTACGGGTAGCTCGTTCTCGGTAGTCCACTCGGTGCGTTTGGCTTTCATGATGGTCTGGAGTTTCAATAGCGTTGGGAGGGCGATTGCGCCGGCGGTGGCGGCGATGTATAGAGGCGAGTCCGCGGAGAGGCCGAGCAGCGAGCAGAACTCGCGCGTGAACGAGTGTGCTACGTCGGACCAGGCCGAGGGGTTGTTGAAGATGCTCCGGTAGGGCGAATCCTGCAGGTTGGGGCTGAAGGCCATCGCGCCCATGAGCTGCTGCACCTCGCGCAGGTATCGGGGCAGGAAGCCGTGGAACTCGCGGCGGGCGTATTCCAGAGCCGCCTGTCGTCCGGCGGGGGTGGGACCCTGCTGCTCGTGGGCCCCGTGGAAGAGCCAGACAAACTGCAGCCGGCAGAGCTCGAACTCGAGGTTGCTCCCCCGCGATGCCAGCGCCTCGTCATTGTCCCGGGCCCATTGTATGGCGGGGAGCAGGTTGTTGTTCTCTTTCATCTCGTGGAGGATGTAGTACATCGTGGCGAACTGTTTGCGCACCTCGCCGGATGGGACCTCGTCGATGTCGAGGATGGATGCGGCATTCTCGGTGGCGTTCGCCGTGTTGGCTTGCTTTTTCTCCGCCGCCTTCTTTTCCGCCATCTCGGAGAGGAAGGTGGCCGCCACCGAGAACTGCCCCTCCCTGAGCAGATGCATCGCGATGGCCCGGTTGATGAGGTGTTCCTGGGAGGAGAGGAGGTCATGTTCGGTGCTCGGGAGGGGTCTGTCTTTGAAGAGCTAGGAGGACTGTCAGCCAACATCCAGGCGGGGTTTAAAGATCGGACGAATCCGGGCTCCGTGCTACCTTATCCAACGACTTCGAGTATTTGTTGAGACCGCTATGGGTTTCTTTGAGATTGTCATTAATGGAATCGAAGGAGGCTTTGACCGGATTCTGTAGCTTGGCGAGGATGATTGATGCTTGACTCGGATCTGGTTGCGATCTCCTTGTCAGTATAGTTCGGTGACTGCGGGGTGGTAGGCCCGAGGCGAGAACCAACCTGCAGCAATGGCGTCCCGCGCGTTTTGCAGTAGATCTATCGAGTTTTGTACTGACTTGAGGCCTTGAGCGGCCTTGGTCTTCTTGACGAGCCTCTCATGTTCTTTTTGCACGAGCTCCATGGTGAGGGGGACAGGCTGGAGGCGTATGAAAGCGGTGTCCGAGAGTTACCGCTCTTTGAGGGCGGAGCTGGCAATAGCCATAGATTGGGGGTTCCCAAGACAGGCGTTTGCTTACTGGGGTCTCTGGCAATCGATAAACAAAAGCTTTCAGATTGCGGAGACAGCTGCAATAGTCAGGAAAGTAGAAGAGAAGCAGGAAAAGATCGAGAGATGTGGAGGGGGTCACAATGCATGGGCAGGTGAGTGTTCGGAGCAGGTGAGCAGGTGAGGTGAGCAAAGCAACTCACTCGCTCTCCGTGGTAATACGACACTGTGCTGTCGCAGCCAATTACGACATGTCACGTCACGTGCTGTCGGGTTATCGCCGATACCTGCTCCGTCTCTTCCCTCATCCTTCTCATGCGGAGTGTCACCTCAATTGGCGCAGTCTGTAGGTGCCCGACACATTTCCCAAAAGCACTTAGGCCTTGGTTGATTGCAGGCTAAGCCTGACCACACTGACAATAATTGCCCATGGACTGGACCAGTTAGGTCGAGTTCCAGAAAGTCATGGGAGTCAATGGCTGGATTCTCAAGATGGGAAGGATGGTCGGGACAACCTCCCCTCCGATCTTCCGCTCAACTCGTAGCCTGCCAGTGTGTGCCAACGGCTTCTTTTCCAGGCATGACCAGCAAAGAGCCTGAGGCCTGAGGCCTGAGGCCAAATATTGAGGACACGGCAAGGGCCACCATAGACAGCCAATCAGAGTCTAGGATACGTCTCGCTTCTGCCTAGCGCGGTGAGTCAGGCTTGGCGGGGGTATATAACCTTCCCGCTGTCGCCCAACTTTTAGAATCTTTTTTTCTTTTCTTCTCCATCCTGGTGCACGGGTTTTACACGTGTCAGTGAGGAGACATCCGAGACCGTGTTTTTGCTAGTTGAAAACTACTTTTTTGACCGCTCTGACTGGCCTTCGGGTCGGTCAGGAATTTTTGAAAAAAAAAAACACTGCTCTGAGCCCTGTTTATGTTCTGGGCTCAGTTAGAGTACGTAGATGGCTGTATGCTTGCTGTTGTCTTCCCGTGCGAGGCTTGACTTCCATGGGCTGTACTCGTCAATCGGTCTTCTTTTCACTGCTGTTTGCTTCCCCAGTTGGAAGCCTGTAGAGAAGAGATAAGATGAAGTGTTAAAGGTTGAAGTTGTCAACTGTGCAACTACCTTCATGATAGCTAGCTGTACTCCCTATACTCCCTACTCCCTAGCTGGATATGTAGTGTCGACGATTCTCGGGATATGAACCTGTCAAATGAGTGCTCCTCTGTCTGCGTGAACCTGCCTGGCCATAATGCTGTCATCGTACTCCGTAGCTGGTGCTGTAACTTCGGCTCTATGCATGTTTGATGAGATGCACGCACTGGTCATTTTCGACCTGTCTGTCACCAGCAGGAAAAGGCCGAAATGATGGATCGCGAGATGCCGGCAAGCAGCGGACAGGTGCGGACGGTGTTGTGGTAGTGATTTGCTGGTTTGGTGGCAGACCCTCCAGGTCCACACCCCCTTTCCGCCTCTTCGGCCTCAATCATTGGGCAATGGCTTCACCCGTGACTGCGCGATCTTTTGGCGATGGAACCTCAACCACTTTACGCGTGCATTACCGGATCTTACGCGTGTGCTGCATGCCCCTCCACCATCCATGCTGCCTTCAGCTGCTGCATCCAAAAGTCTATCGAGTCCCTGTCATCCCAGCCTGCAGCAGACTACTTCTACAAGGATGTCGAGTCTAGATGGTTTCTCTTTGTTCGGTGTTGCCAATGGGAAACACCCCCCGTGAGGATCCGTTTGGGGGGGGGGGGGGGGAGAGACTCCTTTTCCCCCCTGGGACTTGGGACTTCTGCCACTAACTACTCAAGGAAAGACAATACTTACATACAGGTTTCCATTTCACTCATCGTTTCATTGACTTCCAAGGAAGTCCATCACCTTGGGAGATTCCTACCCTTCATTCCCTCATCGAGCGCAAGACTGTTTTCTTCTCTTTCTCTGACTCCCTATCCCCCTCACTTTTCGCCAACCCCTAATTCACAAACATGTTAGCTCTACAGCAACAGCAACAACAACGAAGCAGGAGTAGTAGTGGTAGTCCTAGAAATATCTCCACCAGACGACAGCAAGCTCACCCCGAGGCTTTTTCCTCACGATATGGAGCCGGGAAATCCAGCACACGCGTCCTGAGAACACGATCTCGCGAACGACAATCGAGTACCTCCCGCCGTCTACTACAACAACAACATCGTCGGCGTGAGCCCCCTGATAGCCCCCCAGATGGCAGGTCTGTTTCCCCCCATGATACAGTCGCTTTCACGATTTCCACCCAGCTAAACCGCAGCGCTATAGCTCCCTCACCCCAGCGACAGTCACCCTCTGCGTAGGACCCGAGAAGCGTCTCTTCGCCGCTCACAGGGACATCATCTGCGTCTCCCCTTATTTCGCCGCCGTGTGCGCCCGTGCCCGTGCTGCCTCCACGGATCCGAACAACACCTCCTCCAACAATCCCATCTATCTCCCCGACGAGCAGCCCGAGATCCTGTCCTGCATCCTCGAATACCTCTACCGAGGCGACTACTTCCCGCGACTCCTGCACAACAAAACCCGAAACACCTGGCAGCTGGAGACGGCCTCTTCAACGACAGGGAGTAGCGATGCTGAACCAGATGGCGCAACCATCTTCCATCCGGGAGTAGGCGCGGAGATCCTGAGAGATACAGCTGTATAGTAAGTGTTCCACTGCTTCGCCTATGTGTTTTGTAACCCAGTATCTCCTCTTTCGATCGTCCCAATATCCATGTCCACATGTACCGTACAGAATCTAAAACCCACCCACCCACCTCCCGTCTAAATATCA